TTTAAAGTTTTGAACAATCGTATTTCTATATTTTATGTCGAGGTTTAGGCAGCATGTCGTTAACTAAGACGTCACTGGCCCTATTTGAAGAGGTCTTACAATGGTTCACAATTCATCTGGCTCACTGGTTACATCTATTATGTGTTCTTTGCGCTTATCAAATGTATTTTTGTAACGTACAATGTGATTGATATATAACATCAAGCCCGTACAAGACCGCCAAATTTTTCTAGCGGCCGAGCCTCGTTTTGAGATTTCCACTATTTCCAGATTTCCGTTTCCGACAGAGCACGCTGTACGACGTGTTTGCAAGGATTATAAGGAGCGTAGTGTTGCAATATCCAAGTGATTAGATGTATCAAATAATACTGATTAATATTCATATATCCAGTTGAATAAGTTGGTCTAAACATTCTGGACTGGTTATTGTACTAAGTTGCGCAATAGGACGGAACCCAGTCATCAGGAAACGAGACTGTTGTGTAATCAATGTTTTGACTTGTGGACGTCCCAGGGATTTCTAAATATGCGAACATCACTCCCACGTAGAAGTACCATTTTGGCTGCCATGGAGAGTAACGTCACTGTAGTTGCCACTATCCACCAAGATGAAGTACGGTATGGAATCATTAGTGATACTGAATATCCTGCATTTTAACTATGGAGATCTTACAAGCAAGCGGATAATTTCAGCTTCAAAATACTTTTGCATAATTTATCGATTTTTGTCACTAACAATACATGTCACTGTCACAATGGAAGATGGCATGCTGGTTTCCATGAAACGACTTAATTAATTATCTGACACCGTAATGGCTGCCCGGGTTGTCAAGTTCAATGGAAGAGTTTCACAGCTGACACGATACGTGCTCTACATTCATTATGTACACATCAGGTAATGATAATCAATATTAAACAGCAATTCTGTAAATTCTATCTTCTCCCCGCGGACTTAATGGATTGTGTTCGCTTGGTCGGGCGTTCTGCGTCTCAGGTAATTCTGTATAATATTAGGCACAGTGAAAAACGACTATCGGTAATTAGTATTATTTTATATTTTTATATATAGTTTTGTTAAAGTAATAAGAACCAATGTGAGACTGACGGTTCAGCTTTGTCATTTCCTGTAATATCGATTATCCCCAATTGCTTTATTTATAGTGCAGGTAGGTCGAGTTGTAAACGCGTTCGCTCGTCACACCAAGGACCGGGTTCGATTTCCTACTTTGGTAATAGGTGTTAAGCCGATTCCCTGGTAATTTCTAAGAGCATAATTAAAAACGACAAAAGTCTAATATAGCTGATTGTATGATACCGATGCGTCCAAAGCATGTGTTTACGAATCACTATCAAATAGAGATCAACCCAGGTGTTCGCGAAACCGTTAGCATGTACTGCCCCACCAGTGGTACTCCTCACAAACACATGCAAAGGTTCGTCACTTGTCATCTGAAATTACACGGGAGCATATGGTGGATATCAAAATAGGAACTGCATGTATTAACAAATTGCCCAGGGTGCCATCGCACAAAGTGGGACAGAGATGTAAACGTTGAAAACAGTGTTTTGATAGAACTGAATTTGGCTCCTTTCCGACATTGTCACAAATTAAGCAAATCCTTTGAGGTTTTTTAGAATCCACGTGTCTCGGATATTTTCTGTGAAAATTAAGAAAGTTCTTCCTCGGTTGTATGAAGGATTATGGTTAAAACAGGTATTTGGTGGTATATTTGTTTGACACAGGAATATATCTCTAACATTACCTATTTATAAGGAACTTTGCAATGCAATACAAAATTGTCTAGTTTGCTTTAGAGACATAAAGGACACATTTGAAAACATTCTGATTCTTTCTCATTGATGGAGAGACCTGCATTGCCATGTAAAACAATATGTCTAATGATATTCTGCAAAATACAACATTCCTTAAACCAGCAACCATAGCATCACTTTGTAAAATATAAAATGGACATTTTTTATTATTAAAATGGTATTAAAATGCACTCCGTCCATGCGTCCGTGCGTGCGTGCGTGCGTGCGTCCGTGCGTCCATGCACATTTGTCTTTTCCGGAGCATAACTCTAAAACCGTTCAATACTTCTTCATCAAACTTGGCACATGGATAGATCTGGTGGGCTACTGGTGCATTTTGGTAGTTTTAGGATTTCTGAATAATATATTTTTTGCGTTTCCATGGCAACAAGTTTGACTTAGACTGAAATTGGTGGTAGTGCTCTTATCCGGAGCAGACCTTAAAGACCGTTCACCGTTTCATCACCAAATTTTATACAAGGGTAGGTCTAGTGGTGAACTGGCATGGTGCCTTTTGGTAGTTTTGGATTTCTGAATAAAATAGTTTTTTTGCGTTTCCATGGCAACAATTTTGGCTTCAACTGAATTTGGTAGTAGTGCTCCTTTCTGGAGCAGAACTTTGAAACCTTTCAGTTCTCTCCTTCCACTTAGTTATATACAAGCCAAAACATTTGACATAGTAACTCGTAGACATATTCATGAAGAGTATTTTGCCATTGCGGGGGATATTGATGACTTTGTCTTCTTGTTTATATTGCATGTATGTGCAGCTTTCTGATATCCAGGAACAGTTTATGTAGGTCGTAAATTAGAGTGCTTGTCATGTATCTTAATCTCTTATTCTGGTATGGTAGATATTTAACTTCCTGATATTAGAAAAGTAAAGAGGCTTAGAACCTTGCACAAGTCAAAGTCAAAGTCAAAAGTCGTATTTGAGTCATAAATGCTGAACTAGATTCTCAATTTCTGACATCTGTGGGTAGATTGTTCCACAAGCTAATTGTTGAAGGGAGAATGAAACAATCGAATGTTTTAATCTTGTATATGGTTGAAAAAGTTAATTCGAGCTTCTTAAGTATACCATCTTCTTTTGCCTTCTACCCATAAGTTAATGAGTCACTATGAGAAACTGACAATACCAGATGTTAGCAAGAAGGTGAGCGAGTGCAATCCAACAGGCTGCACTCGTCAAAAAGACATTTAAGTACTGTCAAGGGGCTCATGAAGCTGTTAGCCCGACTGGAAACTGTACGGGCGTACTATACTGTAAACAAAGCCTAAAATGTATCAGGGCGGTGGGGTAGCCTAGTGGTTGTAGCGTTCGCTCGTAACACCGAAGGCCCGGGTTCGATTCCCCACATGAGCACAATGTGTGATGCCCATTTCTAGTGTCCCCGCCGTCATATTGCTGGAATATTGCTAAAAGCAGCGTAAAACCGATGTCACTCATTCACTCATAAAATGTATCCTTCAGATCTTTTTATTGCGTATTGATGATCCACTAAGTTCCTCAGAAACTGGCGGATGTGGACTTCCATGTAATTATATGCTACACTCCCAATCCGGATGTTCCGCCGGTCGGTACATGCGGGAGAGTGACATTCCCTCTGATGGCATTAACGTACTACAGTATGGTCACATTGTCCGCGTGGCGTCAATAAGACAGTGTTTACTCGATGCTGATGTTTTCTGAACGAAGAACCCAGCGCTGTCTGAAACTGAAAAACAAAATCAACATAGAAAAGCCACGTGAAGCCACATTAAAAGGTTTCGTGTTTAAACATCCCGACGTTTATTTTTATAAAACGAGATTGCATGCGAAATTTGGTTCCGCTTCGGAACTTGCTGTGTTTGAGTATTAGTTATGGTGCTCGGCAGTACTTCCGTGCTCGACGTTCACACAATGGGCGTCTGCAATGGGGAACATGCCACGCTGATTAGAATATGTGTTGAGGTAAATAGTAACATTGGTCATCTCTATAAAATTCAAAACAAAACATCTGTTTTATGTTATCGTGTGATGTGTAGAATGTATCGGCCAAACCCACAGCGCTAGTTTAAAACAGGGAAATAAGTCCTTGTAATATACTTATCCTTTACGGGGCGGTGAGGTAGCCTAGTGGTTAAAGCGTTCGCTTGTCTCGTCGAAGATCCGGGTTCGATGTCCCACATGGATGCAATGTGTGAAACCATTTCTGTTGTCCCCCGCGATGATAGTAAAATAAAAAGCGGCGTAAAACTAAACTCACTCACACTTACTTATCCTTTACACAGTAATAGGTATTACAAATGTCTGTTTACAATCCACGTATAATATACATGTATGGATGTGTGTATGTATAATATTTTACACGTAGATAACTGATCTGTCTGTTGTACACCTTCTGTCTCCCTTTCTCAATTCAACTGGTATGAGTTTCAAAATGGCACCCTTTCTGTGTGTATGTAAATGTCCAAGCCAAACAGACACGCCGTCTTGTAATTGAAAACACTGTCCACAGAGGCGTTAAACCACTCCCTTACACTCCCGTTAGTACGCTCCCGATTGTTTACTATTAACCTTTAAATTAATAGTAAATAGAAATATGAAACGATACACCTTCTATTTAAATAACAAAAGCATAATGTGATGCCCGGCTTGGGTATTTTATGATCCAGCATGTATAGTAGACCAGCTAATGTGCCGACAATCGGTATCGGTAGAACTCCCAATCAATGAAAGCTATTGATGTTTCCCATGATAACAAGCACGCTCTACCTTTACATAAGGCAGTTGAGAACGGGGGGTGAATGTGTTGGACGTGTATAGTCAGTGCGGTCATCGAGAAGTACTGCAGACATTACTGGGGTCATTTGTGTCGCATAGTGTCTGTGTGAAGTTGTTTGAAATATATGTGAAACGCATGGATTGCGAAATATACTGTTCCGATGGAGAGGATGAGTTTGAAAAATATCCCTTAAACAACATTGTGTTCTTTGGATGTTACATTTCGACACAAGACTACTGATTTAATTGTGATGACTGGTGAGAAAATAGACTGTGTTATCTAGTTTTGCGACATTTCAGCGCTGCCCAATATTGGTACGTTACCAGGATGAATCCACTATCTACAAATGTTTGGAGGGTACAGTGTAGTTCTGTAATGTATTCCTGTAGTATCTTCTCCCTACTTCTGATATTCAGCAATATGACCTGGATCTCAGCTTTTGTAATACAGCAATCCCCAAAATGTCGCATCGACTACCACAACCTTCCCGCTTCCGTCAGCCTTGACCCTGGGTGTAGCCATGTGACGTGTGGCTCGCAGTGTGGCGCCCCCTGTCCATCAGCACGTGACTGTCAACAAAATGGAGTCTTGGTGTGTAAGGTGTCTGCCCTGCCTACAGCCTTTACGTGTGGCTACGATGAAGCCAACTGCTACGTTTTTCAAAAGGTATGAAACAATGTAGATTAAACTACGTATCCCATCTGAAACAGTTGCTATTATTTCACTTTAAATTACTCGATTACTCTTTACGTTTTGGCCAAACATAGTTTATCCAATTCTTATGACGAGACTTTCTCAGTAACGTACAGATTCTTGTACTTTTGTTGGGTTGAGTCCCATCCAGGTTTCGAACCCACACCCTCAGAGTCAGGCGCCTAATCGCCAGTACACAAAGTCAGCCGGCTAACCCACTCAGCCACCGGGGCTTCCGCTGGCGCTGAAGTGCGTGACTCTGAGGGTGTGGGTTCGATTCCCGGATGGGACTCGACCCAACAAAAGTACTGCAATCTGTACTTTACTGAGAAAGTGTAATCCCAAATATAAAATGTGTTGCGTCGTTTCGGTAAAGATTCTTGTACTTCCAGAGAACGCTACACGAATTTGCACCGAAACGTCGCACTCACAAAATGAAAGAAGTTTTGGTATTATTTTTTTTGCTTTTATTTATTTTATTTTTTTTATACCATTCCATACATTTATACGTATATAAGGCACACAGGATATATGGACAATAAACATTAAATTAAAGAATTTGTTATCCTTAAATTTGTCAGTATCGACATATGTTTGCTATCATCAGGTCACCAACTGCACTAACGGGGGCACAGTGGCACCTGATGGCACCTGTGTGTGTCCTACGGGCTTCATGGGGAACTTGTGTCAACACTACGTTCACAGTGAGTACCTGATATGTATTCCCGATACATGCAGGGTACGGATGTGTCATCTTCAACTCTTTTTCATTTGGTTACCCAAACCTCGTATCTTACTTATATCATCTATAGATACATAACACCGACAGAGCGAGTGAATTATGAACATGCCTGCAGTCATTTTCTGAACATGTCATTTTGTGTAAAACAGAAAATTACCAAAATTATATTTAATAATATGAAGAAAAACTGTAGACATTTTATGACCTCAAAAAAGGGCATACGTGTACAAAGAATTTCAAGTCTTGCTTTAATCTATTTTTTCAGCCTGCGCCGACATCTACCAGCGTGACTCCAGCAGCGCTGATGGCGAGTATACTCTCCTTACCTCCCAGGACGACGTCATTAACGTCTATTGCCGCTTCAAGAGCAGCGTGGTCACAACATACTTCTCCAAGGCTGCTGTAGCAAAACTCAGCACAGAGGAACTTCGTCTACACTTCAACTCCAACACCGCAGTCGACCTCGTCGCAAAACTGAGTGACGGAACGCAGTCTGAATCAATCCTTACCCAGCTGACCTCATTCTCCACTGTACCCCTGAGAGTCATGGTCAGTGAATACACTGACTATTCTGCACCCTCCAATACAAACTTGGGGCCTTATCTTTACCTCGGGTTCCTTCCGACCACAAGAATATCGAAAAATTTCAGACATGGCTACAACGCCAATGGTGCCGATAAAGACTTCAACAACTGTGATGGAAACCCAAATAATTACTTCACTTTATTTTCTAATATTAACAACCAGTCACCAACGAGGAGTAGTGGTGGTATGTGTAGTTCCTGCATCATGGCGCACTGGAAGACTGATGCCCGGATGTTACAATCCGGAGACTATCTTCCCGACAACTATATCTTCGACACGGAAATTCACTTCGGGGGCTGTGGTGGTTTTGGCATCACTACTAGCTGGAACAACGTTGATGGATTCGCACTTGGCGTCAAATATGGTAGGATGTGTAGTGTTATATTCCAATTTCTTATTTGCTGCTTTGAACATATTAACAGTTTTTATGTGTTCAGTTAGATCACAGTTGGTATTTTGTATATATTAGCAGTTTTAGATCTTCAGATCCAAAATTACAATCTTCAAGGATTCTCTTAAAACGACATAGGTACATGTGAGTAAATTGTGTTTATGTTACTATGAACAATATTTTGGTCATGTATCTACAGATCAGCCGGGGCGGTAGGGTAGCCAAGGGTTTAAAGCGTCCGATCGTCACATTAAAGACCCGGGTTCGACTCCCCACATGGGTACAATGTGTGAAGCCCATTTCCGGTGCCCGAAGTCGTGATATTGCTGGAATATTGCTAAAACCATACTCACTCATACACAGATCAGCATAATAATGGTGTAGGTATTTAACAACATCCTGTTCGTGGATATGGGGATACCGATCACAGGGTGAGGATGTGAGTGATTCTGGGATTCGATGCATTACATTGTACCAAAGGATTCTCTCGTTCGTAGAGCTGTGTCAGGTGATGAGTGTAACCGCTTGTCCACAGTAGCCCTGGGTAAAGATACAATCTGGCTGAAATATTGCCGATATGACGATAAATATTAACTCAATCACTCACTGGGTAAAGATGTCAAAGTATTTCTGTTCTATTTTATGCGTTTCGCGTTTTTACAGGGAAAGGTCAAACTTCTAAACAAAAACCCATAAAGGGCAAAAAGACCATGTCTATGTTCACAGGAAATCACACAAAAAAGTCCCTTATACGAGTCACACCAAACCATAAAGTACAGTCAAACACAGCTTTGACGTAATTTTGTGTATAAAAGCTTCGTTTCTGCCTATTCATTACAAAGTGACCATTTTGTCGATGTGTCCATCCTCGATAATCTCCAGGATATACGTTCCTATAAATCTCCACCAGTACCCTAGATGCATCTACGGCTCGACCCGATGATGTTATTACCTCACTTTGCTTGCTCCGCCTTCTCACAGTAGCCAATCAGATAAGCCGTTGCAACAGAGCTTGCCAGTGTCAACAAAGAAGGCGGCCGCAGCCGCGAAGGTTTGATCGCTCAGGTTTAAGGAAAACACCATACAGACAAATTGACAGGTCTGAAACCTTCTAACAATATATGCAGGAACTCCTTCTACCTCTTAACATTACTGTTTACCGAAGAGGCGGAAGTGAGTTATGATAGAAGCCTTGTGATTGGTACGCTCAAATTCCCAGCGTAGACACCTAATTGGATAAAAAGCCAGCAAAGGGAGGTAATAAAATTATCGGGCCGAGCCGTAGATGCATTCAGGGTACTGGTGGAGACTTGGAACGTATACCCTGGAGATTATCGAGGATGGGATGTGTCGAGCATCGGATAACTCGAAGTAACGTAGGAACGACTTTTACTGTATTCAAGAATCATTGTCAACTATCGGGAAAAGGTAAACATATCAAGGCCAACCATTGCTGCGCGTAGTTTATTGATAAGTTATTGTTTTCTCATTATTCGAAAGAAAACAGATGTTTTGTAAGATGGTGTTTGTGCAATGTGTATTGTTAAAACATGATTAATTTCCCTTGAGAGGTTGGCACTTGTATACCAATCTACCTGATCTTGTTTCGCCTTTATTTGGAAACAAATATGTAGATATTTAGCAGCAACAGTGTAAACACTGTATATCTGGGAAAGTTTACGAATAGGAAACCAAAGAGAGACACACTCACAATAGTTTCATGACGCAAATGTTTTAGCAGATTAACAAGAAACCAAAACAATAAGGTGGAATAGATGTTTTATTCACTTCTTCCAATTGTTATGCAAGCCATTACCTGATTAAATCAATAATGTTGCACTAAGTGTGAATGGTTAAAGCACTGTTTCACATCTTGTCAACAACTGCTTACTTAACACTTATAGACCAAAACGTGGACTTGAATGAACAAAAAAAACCTGACTGTTTGGCTTGAAAGAAATACAAATTTGAAAGTGAAAGGAAAATATAATTTCATCTGAGATAACTTCATATTAGCAAATTAGAAAATGAAGCTACAATATGATAAAGAATAGGAATAACTTAGATTTAAAAACCAAGAAAGGAAGAAGTATGAGAGATTGATATAAAGGAATTCGAATTTGACATTCCCGTTCATTTAATCCTGCAAATGCCGCTGTCGAACCAAGGAGACACTGACATATCTTTAAGCAGCACGACAAGATGAACATTTCAAACTACGCGTTCATAAGCAGAATTTGAACTTATATACATCAAACACAAACGATTCAATTTCTACATAATGCAGATCATGAAAAGTAATCACAGTATTGCTGAAACCGGAAGCACGTACAGCATCGCACATATTGAGACAAAATATGCCAGAGTTTGTAATCTGCCGTTCATGAAAATAGATTCAAGCTCCCCGCAAAATGCAAAATATACTGTATGATTAACTTTTAAATCAGCTTCACCTCGTTACCGTTACTTGGCCTTAGGTATCAACTGTAGTTGTCTTTTTTCCTTTGTTGTCTGTGTTTTTCGCAATATTGCCGCCAGTGCGTAAGGTCGGGGGAGTGTGTGTGTGTGTGTGTGTGGTGGTGGTGGGGGTGGGGGAATGGGGGTTCCTTAACTCTGAAGTCGTAATAGATTTCACGGTTGATGAATATCGAACATATATATTTCGAGAGATCTGTAACATGTCAGCACGTCATAACAAAAGAACAAAAGTGTAGTTCTAATTTTATAATTTGCACCGGGGAAGAAAACGTAACCTTGAAAATGGTGATTTAAGTAGTGTACGTCACTGGAAATCATTGGCTGGTACTTTGTCTCAAGATTAATCGTTAACTAATAGGGTTAAATTTAGGCAGTCTGAGCTTTTAGGTACGATATCCGCAGGATTAAACACCAGGAAAGGATAGTCTTTTCAGTTTTCAGTTATAGTTCTCCTAATAACATGTCTGTTTCTGAGGATATTGACAAACTGCCAGTTGGTTCTAAAAATATTTCTGCGTTGTTGTCAGACCCTGCTTCCAGATATTGCTGTAAGCTAGTGCATATTATTACTGAGTGTAAAAGGCTTGTTCTTGCAAGCAGTCTTTCTTCCAAGAATGCTTTTGTCAATGTCAATTTACAGTCATTTTGGGGGTCGGCTAATGATGAGTGTGCTTTTGTAGACCTGTCATCAAAACTGTTGTGAGAGAAATTCCTGCCTTTTCTTCGTAAACGAGGTCTGTTATGTTAAGTCCATTACTTGTGCTCTTCAATCAAATTCAAAAGTAAAAAAGGAGTATATTTGTAACGAGGCCAAGGGCCCATATACAAGATATAACTATACATAGTTAACAAGAGCATACAAATGAAGTCTAAAGTGTTTCTATATACCTATTTCTTTTCATATATGCATGGTAAATGTAATACTGTACACGTCTGATTAAATTCTCCTGAGTTGCACATGTCAGCCTTTAAATTTATGGATAGAAGGGAATTTCCAAAGTGTTCCGGAAGAAAAGTTATTCTCAATTCATTGTACAAGTGGCATATTATAAGTGTGAAATGATACTCATCTTCTACAGAGGTGTTGCAAATGGGACACAAACGTAAACCAGATTCGATTGATTGCCACCTACCTTCATTATAACGTAGTGGCAAGACATTGCATCTGAATTTGACGTAAGTAGAGCGCATCTTTCTTTCTAATATGGTATACAATTATCTTTCTGGTTCAAATATGAATTTATATTCTCTATACATCACATATCTAGAGCTGTTATTCAACGTGGAAGTCCAACTTTGAGACAATTCATTTATCAATGATGTTTTAAACAATTGTACAAAAGAAAGTTCATCGCCAACAGATTGGTTAATCCAGATATATCCAAAGCCATGAGAAAACAAAATATTTTTTTATGAACGATACCCAACTCTTTTTTCCAATGTCATCAAAATATCTTAACATGTAATACACTTTCTTGGGTAATCTACACTCGCTCATTTTGAGCAATTTTAGCCAATAACGTAAAAGCCGTAAGTAAGCATTTATATATATTGGATAGCGGCCACATTCGCCATATACAATAGTATTAGGAGTTTGTTTTCCAACCCTTAAAAATCGTTTGCAGGCTAGAAGATGTACCTTTTCCAATAATTCATATTGCTTGACTCCCCAAATCTCACAGCCATATAATAATATCGGCATCACCTGAGAATCAAAGATTTTAAAATATATTTTTGGGTCAATCATTCCAATCTTATTTAGTTTGACAATGATTTCCATCAATGCTCTTTTACCCCGGCTTGCCAAGTCTGAAATGCATTTAGTCATTTTTAAGTTACTTGAAAACCAGACACCTAAATACTTGTAACTATTTACAGTGGCGATTTGGTTTCCTTTATAAAACCACTTTTCCTTATTCGAAAGAATGCCCCTTTTCTGAACACAATAATTTGTGTTTTATCAAGATTAACAGTCAAGAATATTTAACTGGTTTTGAAGGCCGACAATTGATTCAGATACGAGGATGACATCGTCTGCAAACAGAAGTAGGAATAGTTCATATAAATCAGGGAATAATTGCACGCCGTGTCTACCACATTCATTTACAGAGTTTGACAGTTCACTGATGAATAATGAGAATAACAACGGGCTAAGGATGCATCCTTGGCGCACTCCATTTGGGCAATTGAATAGATCGGTAATATCTGAAGAAGAGCTTTTTACGCAAGCTTGTACAGATATGTAAATTGCTTTGAGTGCTGACAGCATCCCCACCCCCCAACCCGTTCTGTTTAAGGCAAAACCAAAGTTTATTTCTTTTCACATAAACAAACGCCTTTTTGAAATCTATGAAGGCGACATAAAGCTTTTTTCGTTTTTTCATACAGCATTTTTCGACAATAGAATTTAGCGTGAATATGTGATCTGTGGTTCAATAACCAGATCGGAAGCCTGCCTGTGTTTCTGGAACTTTATCTTTTAGCTCTGTCCAGAC